CAACATCACTATTCCCTGTTTGACCAGATCCAACACCCATTGATGCCCAGGTGACTGAGCCAGTTTGTCAGTATTGACCCTACCTCTAAAATGTTCAAATTTTTGCGTCGTTCAGTTGTTGATGTATCAATTTTGAGTGGTCACACAAACTCAGACAACACATTCTTTCAAAATCTTCACACTCATGTCCTTGTGCTAAAAGCAAAAATTAATTGCCACACAATTTTGTAAAGTCATGTGTCTAATCAAATCAACACTTAAAAACAAACTACTTAAGGCCTAAGAAGTAGCATTAGTCTTCTTGGTTAACCCATATCCTAGTTTCATTAGGGCAACTAGAGCCTGAAAGGCTGCAATCTTTGGGGCTAAAAATGATGCAGTGATTATTTCACCGCTATTCTAAATTTTGATATTGTGTTTGCAATCTGAGGTAAAAGCATGAATTGCTCTCTTCCCTCAGTATCTTGTATTTTGGTGACCAATTATCATGATCTGATCTGGTGTTAAAAGCAATAATCTCCCTAGACTGCAGGGACCTTCCCTTATATGGGATGGGATGGATGGCTAAGCATGGTCCCTGCAAATGATAAATACTCTGTGGGCTAAAGCAAGTGGTTGATTAATCGATTTCGATATGCTCAATGTGTTAACGCTCCATACATGTGTTTGATTTCTCCCTGTATAGCTAAAAAATAAAACAAAAATCCTTTGGTATGGAGTCAAGTAACTCTATCTCTTGAGGCTCTAACTGGGCCAACGGCGGTTGAACAGTCCATAGGTCCCACATATCAGTGACTGTGCCGTTGTTCGGGGGGACCACACTGGTCAGTGCCGGTGGTATGGGCCATGAATCTAAAGGGACACAGACAAGGCATGTGGAAAAGGGGGTTCCCTGGAGATGCTATGGACAGGCAAATCGAATCTGGTCTTGACAGGTCAGCTAGCGTGACCCACACACTCATTTCGGTTGCGGTGGCACCCATACTGCTTGCATACACCCAGTCAAGCTTAAGAGGATCGTTATCATTTCCATCTTATATACCGGTCTGTGTTACAGCAAAAACAGCGGATTGAATAGATTTTACTTACGATATCAATTCTTTTACAGCGAATGCACAAGGGTGTTAAGGTACGATAAATGTGTTAATTACCATTAACATAAATCAAATGCCTTCTGTGAAATATACAATGTGCGATAACATATCTATAACAGCGCCTGCAGACTAAACATATAGACACCTGCGGCCTAGTGAGGCCTGATACACCACTCTGTACAGTCTCAAACGAATCACTTCCCATCAAACAGTGTGTTATCACT